CATCCTGTTGCTTACCTGCAAACATATAAATACAAAGTGAACGATAGCCCAGTGAATAATACCAAAGTAAAGAGGTCATATGAATGAGACTCTTAGATAGATAAATCATACTCATGTGTAACACATATAGGTCATTATCAAAACAAAACGACCTCAGGCCCATTCTACTATGCTCAAAGCATGTCAAATGAGCAAAACATCCTTAGGTCTAACATTTATTCATAACCTGACCTCAGGTCTAATGGATCCATATACGATTGACCATTGGTCCTTCGAAACATATGCACAAAATGACCTCGAGTCCATCATTTCCATTTTCACATTGATGTGCATGCTCAAGTCATGATAATGTTCACAATCGTGTTCATATTCAAAATGACCTTTGGTCTAATCAATTCCTTATTCAAAATGACCTTTGGTCCATTTAAAACAAACATACAAAACGACCTTCTATCCAATTCACATATATAAGATGACCTTAGGTCTATCTTGTTAAACATTCTAAGCGACCTTAAGCCCATTCCATCTGCTTGTCAAATATACCAAACAGCCTTAGGCCCATTTCATATTCTCATTAAACATACCAAATGGCCTTAAGCCCATTTCATATTCATACAAAACAACCTTCGGTCGAATCATATAGTTTCATACTTATCAATCACCTTTACGAATTAGATAGATAGAATACTCATTCTTAGTACAAATTCATAAGTTTAGAAACTTACCACATACGTAACATTTAGAAAACAATACATACACAAAAATATCTTTACTAAGATATTACTCACTGTGGTCAGATGGCTGAATCGTCCTTGCAGTTGACCCTACACAATTTACAACACAATGGGTCATAATATAATTCAAACCGTTCTTTAGTCTACTTAATTTTCTTCGGCTTATTTCTAGTTCTTTAATTCATTTAGAATGCTCAATGCGTGCCTAAGAATGCTCAAAAATGACAGAGAATGGAAATTGGAACATGAAACAACTTTTCAAAATTGCCTAAAATAGGGCACTTTGCTCGAGCGACCCCCTTGGTCTGCAAAAGTAGTGGATGATTCATTTTTATGCTCAAGCCATCAATATATCGCTCGAGTGGTCCTTCGCTTGAACTACCTTTTGTTCGCTCGACCCACCTTTTGTTCACTCGACCCAATGTTTACAGTATGCAAAAATACTGTATGCCTTCAATGTGTGCTTGAGTAGCAACTTCACCGCTCGAGTGATGCTATCAAATTCTGGGATTTCTAGAATGCTATTTGAGCTTCAAAACACATGTTCAAAAGGTATAGGTTCGCATATTAAGCACTAAACTTCAACTACATAACCATTAACATTAGTTCGATAATCAATTTACACAATTGAAGCTAAAAACATCAAGAATTCATCATGCATGCTCATTTCAACTCAATATCTTTTCTAATACTCTTTACATATGAAATTCAAGTTCATAGCCTCATGGATTATACATGCATGTACACAATAACTCCCTTTTTGACTTAAACAACATAGTTCATGCTCTAAAATGAAGAACTATAGAAAATTTACACATGCATGCACTTATTGATCCTAATCTCCACACGTTCAACTCAATTCTTGCATTTATTTACATGCTCTTTTTAAATTCACATAATAAAGAACTTAAACTCATGAATTAGAGTTCAATTACTTACCTAGAGCTTTGACTATCACTTGCACTAGTAGATTTTGAGTTATTCTTCACAATCCTTAATTTCCTTAAGCAAATCTTCAAATATGATCTCCTTCTCTCTCTAGAATGGCTCACTCTCTCTCTAAAATGGCTCTCCTCAGATTTTTGAGCTTTCAAAATGAGTCTAAGCACTTGAATTAACCTACATTTATGCTTGACTAATCAAATTGGCCAATCAAGGTTTAGTGCTAATTAATCAAGGCTCAAGTTAATCGAATTTAATCTAATTATTTTGATCCGAATCGATTTTTAATTAAATTTCATCGTAGGCACTAAAAAAATTATGCTAATCATAATGGTACAGTCAATTTTGGTTTCTGTCGCCTTTATAGGCTTCAATTTCAAATTATAACAGGAAATAGAACATATTTCTCTACGGTGGACAGATATAAAGTCAAAAACACATATAATCACATAAGTAGCACCCAAAATCATATTAAGCACATAATCACAAGCATAATTAAAGGTTAACAGTATCACACATAATAGGATTGTCACATTCTTCCCCCCTCCCCTTAGGAAGGTTGGTCCTCCAAACTTATGTTACTTCCGTTCAGAAATAGATGTGGATAGCGTTGTCGCATCTCATATTTTACCCAAGTAGCTTCCCTTTCATAATGCTCTTTCCATTCCACTTTTTCCATTGGAATAGATTTGTTTCTCAGTTGTTTCACTTGTCGGTCAATGATCTGTTCTAGCCATTCCTCATATTCCATATTCTCATCAAGTGCTGTTTGGTGGTAATTAATGACATGGAACAAGTTTCGGAGATAACCCCACAACATTGATACATGGAACACATTGTGCATTTTCTCCATTCCTGGAGGTAAACCAACTCTATAAGCAACTGGCCCAAGTCTTTCCAAAACTTGAAACGACCCAATGTAACAGTGTGATAACTTACCCTTCTTACTGAATCTTGATTGGCCTTTCATCGGAACTACACGAATGAACACATGGTCGCCAACCTCATACTCAATAGGTCTTGTAACATTTGCATAACTCTTTTGCCGACTATGTGCTATCTTGAGCCTTTGTTGGATAACTTTGATTTTGTCAGTAGTTGTTTGCACTAGTTCAAGTCCAAGTAAGACCCTATCCCTAAGTTCAGTCCAACAAATCAATGATCTATACTTTCTACCATACAAGGCTTCATACGATGCCATGCCAATACTAGAGTGGAAGCTATTATTTTATGCAAATTCAACCAACGAAAAGTAATTTTCCCAACTTCCTTGAAAATCTAAGGCACACATTCGGAGCATATCCTCAAGAGGCTGTATGGTCTGTTCTGATTGTCCATCTATTTGTGGACGGAATGCGGTACTAAATCAAAGTTCTGTTCCCGTTGCTCTTTGTAGGCTTTTCCAGAGTCTAGACACAAATTTTGGATCTCTGTCCAACACAATAGACACTGGAACTCCATGCAAACAAACAATTTCATCAACATATATAGTAGCTAATCTATATGCATCAAAAGTAGTTCTCACTGGCAAAAAATGTGTATGTTTAGTCAATCTATCAACTATAACCCAAATAAAGTCCATACTTCTAGGTGTTCGAGGTAGGCTAACAACAAAATCCATGGTTATGTGCTCTCACTTCTATTTTGGAATAGGGAGAGGTTGAAGTAGTCCTATCGGCTTTTGATGTTCAGCTTTAACTTACGGAGATTGAGGACATTTATAAACATACTCTGCAATTTCACGCTTCATATTTGGCCACTAGTAACTATGTTTCAAGTCCCGATACATCTTGTTATTGCCTGGATGCATTGCAAACATTGACTTGTGAGCTTCATACAAAATTCTCTTCTTTAACTCAAGGATGTTCGAAACACACAATCTGTTTTGGAATTTCAAAGCTTCTTTTTTCACAACTATGTCCCGGTTTTGGATTCACTTTAATTTCATCAGTCATCTTCTTGAGGAATTCATCCTCTCCTTGCCTTAGCTTGATTTCATCAATAATTTTTCGGTTGGGCTGCAATGGCGACTATCAACCCACTTTGCTCATGTGACATTACTTTAATCTCGGACTTCTCAAAGTCTTGCAGGATTTCTTTCTGTTTAGTAAGTAGGCAAGCCAAGTTCCCCGTTGATTTTATGCTTAAGGCATCAACAACTGTATTGGCTTTCCCTAGGTGATACTGAATTTGGAGGTCGTAGTCTTTTATCAGCTCAAGCCATCTTCTCTGATGCATGTTCAATTCCTTTTGAGTAAAGAAGTACTTTAGGCTTTTGTGATCTGTCTAAACTTTACATTTCGCCCCATACAAGTAGTGTCGCCAGATTTTCAAAGCGAACACAACTACGGCCAATTCTAAGTTGTGTGTTAAGTAGTTCTTTTCATGTGGTGTCAATTGTCAGGAGGCATAAGCATTTACCTTTCCATTCTACATTAACACACAACCCAAACCCTTGTAAGAAGCATCACTAAATAGCACAAAATTTCCTATACCTTAAGGTAGTGTCAACACTGGTGCAGTAGTCAATCTTGTTTTCAGTTCTTGGAATGCGGATTCTCTTTCATCACTCTTTTCAAATGGTTGTCCTTTACTTGTAAGTTAGGTAAAAGGTATAGCTATTTTTGAAAAATCTTTCACAAACTGTCCATAGTATCCAGCTAAACCCATGAAATTGCAGACTTCAATTACATTTGTCGGTGTAGGCCAGTTCACAATTGCCTCTATCTTCTATGGGTCTACTGAAATCCCATCTATGTTGATAACAAGGCCTAAAAACACAACCTCATCCAGCCAGAATTCACATTTCTTTAATTTAGCATACAACTTCTTTTCTCTAAGGGTTGCAATACAGTTCTCAAATGTTGTTTATGATCAATTTTACTCTTTGAGCATATCAAGATGTCATCAATAAAGACTACAACAAACTCATCAAGATAAGACTTAAAAATTCGATTCAAAAGATCCATGAAAACCACAGGTGCATTAGTAACTCCAAAGGTCATAATAAGAAATTCGTAGTAACCATACCTTGTCTGAAATGTCATTTTCTCAACATCTTCTACTTTTACCTTTAATTAGTGATACCCGGATCTCAGATCAATTTTTGAAAACACTTGTGATCCCTGCAACTGATCAAACAAATCGTCAATACGGGACAAAGGGTATTTGTTTTTGATCTTTACCTTGTTCAATTCTCGATAGTCAATACATAATTGTAAGGTCTCCATCTTTATTCTTTACAAATAATATCGGTGCTCCCCATGGTGAAGTACTCGGTCTAATAAAACCCTTATCAAGCAAGTCTTGCAGCTGTTGTTTCAATTATTTCATTTCAATAGTTGACATTCTGTAAGGAGTTTTCGAAATAGGTTGAGTGCCCGACACAATATCAATAGTAAACTCTATATCCCTGTCAACCAATTCCCCTAACAACCCATCCGGGAATACATCCGGAAATTCTCTAAAAATAGGGATACTATCTTGTTCAACATGAATGGATTGTTCAATCATCACACTACACAGATAACCCTGGTACCCTTTCCTAAGCAGTTTATATGCTTTCATTATTGAAATCAGATAAGGTGGACGCACTTCCCCATTATCCACAAATATAAACTCATTATGTCCTGGAGGTCTAAATATAACTTGTTTTGTTACATAATCAATGGTGGCATAGTATTTAGCCAGCCAGTCCATACCCAAAATTACATTGAAGTGTCTAATATCCAAGGGCAACAAATCCACATATAAAGTCACACTCCCAATATGCATATCACAAAAACAATATACAAACGTACACAACACAGACTTCCTAGATGGAGCAGATACACACAACAAATAAGGCAATGATTCTAGGGGTCTATTCAATCTAGATGCAAATGCAGTAGACACAAAGGAATGTGTTGTTCTGGAATCAATTAACACAAAAACATCTTGATTACATACAGTGATAGTACCTGAGAAGATGGCTTTAGTATTTCAGGTGTCACCTGGGATGAGCGTAAAGACTCTCCCTTGCCTTATTGTGTCTTTGGTAGTAGTAGGCCTCGTAGTATTCCCTGGTATTAGGATCGATCCGGCTGAGCTAGCCCCCGGTTTTCCACTTCTTTGTTGCTTCGTTTGGGTACAATCCCTTGCCATATGTCCCATTTTACCACATTTAAAAGAAACCACAGAAATACGGTAGCAAACCCCATAATGTTTCTTACCATATTGATTACATGTTGGTGTCGTGTCTTTGGTAGAGCTTGAAGTGCTTGAGGATCCCGTATTCCACTTTTTCAATGATTCCTTCTTTGAGAAAAAGCCCTGCCTCTTTCTTTTACAGTCAGTTGGTGGTCTACTCTGATTGGCCATATTAGTTTCTAACATTAAAGTCTGATCTAGTAGATCAATGTAAGTGGACAGTTTCAACACATTCACCTTTTCCAAAATATCATTGCGGAGATCGCCCTCGGACTTTCTCGCTTTCTTATAGTCAGTGTCGACCATGTGCAATGCAAATCTAGCCGATTCTGTAAACTTGGCTTCATTCTCAGCCACTGTCATACTTCTTTGTTTAAGCCCCTCGAAGTTAGACACCTTTCTATGACAGACACATTGGGAAAAGTATTTATTGTAGAAGATTTCCAAAAACCGTGCCCAGTCAATGCCTTTGTTATCCTTACGAGTCAACATCCAGCACCTCCTTGCTTAATCTTCAAGTGGAATGTTGCCAAGTGCATTTTTTGTGCCTCTAAGCATGGGAACACTTCAAACAATTTTTCTATGCCGGGGACTCAAGCCTCTGCTTTTAACGAGTTCGCTCCCCTGTGGAACGTCAGCGGTTTCATTTGCTTAAATTCTTTGGTAGGAGCTATTGTTCGGTCATCATTTTGCAAGTCTTGTACAAGTTGTACCAGAGGTGGAGGTGGAGGTGGTTGCCACTGTTGTTGCCATTGTTCTTGTTGCCTCAGTGTCTCTGGCATGTCATGTATTAATCTTTTCATTCGGTCTAGTCTAGCAGTAGAGGATTCCTCTATTTCATCGGCCTTTATTCTCACCATTATCTGATAAGACTTGTATTATATTTCATACAAAAACAATGTACACGATGTACATATACAGAAAGAGTATGCATTTACAGATAGGCAACAGTTCATATATCATGTAGTCACATATTTTGGAACACTTAACCACATTCTCAATGCATTCAAGCATATATTCACCACATGAATGCAACTTAAGTCATTTCTAGACACTCTATTACTCATTTGGACAAGTGAGTGAGTTATTAACTCGTGCTTTGATATTACTTTGTCATGACCCGAACCAGCCCCTATAGGTTAGGATCATAACCAACCAGTAATCATAAGACTACCTATGGCCTTAGACAGAAATCCAATAATATTTAATAGTAGGGGGCCAAAAGTTGAAGCAGAATAATTAATTTGTGTCCAATGAGCTGTGCTTATATGCCATAACAAAACATTTCCCATATATGTAATAGCTCACACCATAGGAAATTACAAAATATATATTCTAGGATCATTCAATAATCCTTTGTCACACAGTTTAACCATAAAATATTTACATATACGGTCAAGTGACCGTCAAAATGGGGACAAAAATTCAAAAGAATAAATTAAAAGCCTCGAGCGTGAGGCGACCCTGGTTATTTTCACAAAAACTCAATTTCCTTTCTCATCTCCACTAAGGCTGGGGTTGGACATCCCGCTGCTCACCTACATACATATAAAAGTGAGCAATAGCCTAGTGAGTAATACCAGAATAAAGAGATCATATGAATGAGACTCTTAAATAGATAAATTATACTCATGTGTAACACATATAGGTCATTATCAAAAGAAAACGACCTCAGGTCCATTTTATTATGCTCAAAGCATGTCAAATGAGCAAAACGACCTTAGGTCCAAACATTTATTGATAACCTGACCTCATGTCTAATGGATCCATATACAATTGACCATTGGTCCTTTGAAACATATGCACAAAATGACATCGGGTCCATCATTTCCATATTCACATTCATGCGCATGTTCAAGTCATGATCATGTTCACAATCGTGTTCATATTCAAAACGACCTTTGATCTAATCAATTCCTTATTCAAAATGACCTTTGGTCCATTTAAAACAAACATACAAAATGGCCATCGGTCCAATTCACATATATAAGATGACCTTAGGTTTATCTTGTCAAACATTCTAAACTGCCTTAAGCTCATTCCTTATCCTTGTCAAATATACCAAACGACCTTGGGCCCATTTTATATTCTCATCAATCATACCAAATGGCCTTGAGTCCTTTTGTATCTATACAAAACGAGTTCTGGTCTAATCATATAGTTTCATACTTATCAATCACCTTTACAAATTAGACAAATAAAATACTCATTCATAGTACAAATTCATAAGTTCATAAACTTACCACATAGGTAACATTTAGAAAACAATACATACACAAAAATATCTTTACTAAGATATTACTCATTGTGGTTAGATGACTAAATCGTCCTTGCAATTGACCGTACATAATTTAGAACACAATGGGTCATAATACAATTTAATCTGTTCTTTAGCTGGCTTAATTTTCTTAGGCTTGTTTCTAGCTCTTTGATTCATTTAGAATGCTTAATATGTGCCTAAGAATGCTCAAAAATGAAAGAGAACGGAAATTGGAACATAAAACAATCTTTCCAAATTGCCCGAAACAAGGCACTTCGCTTGAGTGCAACATTGGTTGCTCGAGTGAAACCCTTGGTCTGCAAAAGTACTAGATGGTTCATTTTTATGCTTGACCCAACAATCCATCGCTTGAGGGGTGCTTCGCTCGAGCTACCTTTTGGTCCCTTGAGCCAATGTTTACAGTCTGCAAAAATACTGGATGCCTTCAATGTGCGCTCGAGTGGTAACTTCACTGCTCGAGCGATGAGGTCAAATTCTAGGATTTTCAAAATGCTATTTGAGCTTCAAAACACATGTTCAAAAGGTGTAGGCTTGCATATTAAAAACTAAACTCCAACTATATAACCATAAACATGAGTTCGATAATCAATTTGCACAATTGAAGCTCAAAACATCATGAATTCATTATGCATGCTCATTTTAGCCCAATATCTTTTCTAAAACTCTTTACATATGAAATTCAAGTTCATAGCCTCATGGATTATACATGCATGTACACAATAAGTTCCTTTTTTACTTAAACAACATAGTTCATGCTCTAAAATGAAGAACTATAGCAAATTTTCACATGCATGCACATATTGATCGTAATCTCCCCATGTTCAACTCAATTCTTGCATTTATTTACTTACTCTTTTTGAATTCACACAACAATGAACTTAAACTCATGAATTAGAGTTCAATTACTTACCTAGAGTTTTGATCATCACTTGTATTAGTAGATTCTTGAGCTATTCTTCACAATCCTTAATTCCCTTGAGCAAATCTTCAAAGTTGATCTCTCTCTCTCTCTCTAGAATGGCTCACTCTCTCTCTAAAAGGGCTCTCCTCAGATTTTTGATTGTTCAAAATGGGTCTAAACACTTGAATTAACCTATATATATATATATATGCTTGACTAATCAAAATGGCTAATCAAGGTTTAGTGCTAATTATTCAAGGCTCAAGTTGAATCGAATTTAATCTAATTACTTTGATCCGAATCGATTTTTAATTAAATTTCACCATAGGCTCAAAAAATTATTCTAATCATAATGGTATAGTCAATTTTGGTTTCTGTATAGCCTTCAATTTCAAATTGTAACAGGAAATAGAACATATTTCTCTACGGTGGACATATATAAATTAAAAAACACATATAATCACATATGTAACACCTAAAATCATATTAAGCACATAATCACAAGCATAATTAAAGGTTAACAGTATAACACAGAACAAGGTTGTCACCCGATCTCTGCAACCCACTCTTGATCTTAGAAATCTAGTTCTGAGACTCATCATTATTGGCCTGCATTTTATTGGTAGTTTTAGGTTGGTTAGTTCTAGGTTTTTTTTTGATCTATTAATTTCTATCTTTTTGCATCATCTTTTAGGTAGGGTTGCTCTTGGTTTTCCTTTTGTTGTGGTTGTGATTTTTTATTGTTTCTCCTTCCCTATTGTGGTTTCTCTTGGTTGTCTTACTTTACCTTTCTCGGTGCTTTTGAGTGGTTTGTACTATGTTGGGGTTTCCTTTTCAACTCTAAGTTGGCCACTAGACGACTATCGAATGAAGAAAAAGGTAAAGGTATCGCAATGGATGGAGACCTTAATCAACACAATTGGAGATGTTCATCGCCACCTGATATGTTTTCTCATTTAGACTCACTTGAAATAGCTCTAATCAAGGATACCTTATATGAGGATTTTAATTTAGACTGGTTCTCGATTATGTGGAATCTTAAAAGTAGGAATTTAGATGGTATAGATGACGTTATGTATGATAATGTCCTTCCACCAAAGCAAAGCCAACCAATGCCTTGGTCTACATATATAGGTGTTGATTTTGGTCAGGGAAGCCCATCATGAAACCAAGATTTATTAGATGGTAGTAGTGGCAGTAGGATTGGAGGGGGTACATCGAGTGGCGCTAAGTTCAAAACGAATGTCGAGCGGAAGAAAAAAGTGAGATTGGGCAAGAACTTCCTCTTTATTTATCATAACTTGCGTCAAAATCTTAAAGTTGTTGGTACATTTTAGTTCATACACCAACAAAGCTTGTTAGTTGTTAAGGTTCAGACAAAAGGGCCTTCTAAGACAGACATGCAAGTTGATATATTGGATGTTCCAAATATTGAAGTTCAACCTAACACACCCATTTCTAGTAAAGATACTCCACCACCATTGTCATCTCTAGTGTCTCAAGCCTCTGAAGAGCAATTACCAACACAAAACTTCCTTGAAGAGCAAACAAGCATTGAACTCTAATCAAATCATACATTTTTGTGCGGGAGGCTTTAAGTGAGTTCAAGCACGCATACAATGGTTTTTAAGGTCCAAATGAATTGACCTATACTGCTAAATTCCTACTTCATGCCCCGGCTCATGGCAAACGCAAGTGAAAGTTGTGGATTAAAGATAATATCAACAGCCCAAGCCTTTTTTGACCACCTTAGCATCGAGCTTTTTGATCAAGCATCTCAAATTGATCTAACCTTTTCTACTCTGCTTCTGTATTTGTTGTCTTTGCAGGGTTTGCTGATGTTGAGCTGCGATTGCTAGTAGCGGTCATTGCTTTTAGTCTTATCTTTCTAATGTTTTAGCTTTTGATAGGTTTCTTGTGTTTGTTAGTTGTTGACTGATGTAACTCCATGTTCTTACTTCTTTAATCCATATATCATGGTTTTCTTGTTCTAAAAATTAAAACTAAAAATAAAAAAAGTTTAGCCTTTGCTTATATATAAACAAATTTAGTGGGCTCTCTAAATTTTCCAAAATCTCAATACTAATATGTGGGGTAAAGTTGATGTTATCTCTCTACATGGTAGTTCCTGAGTCTCCCTTATCTCGTTTCCCTAATTTTAATTCTTGCATATAATAAGAA